TAGACACACTATCCATGTCGTCTCGTTTTGTTTTTATTTTTCTACGTTTAAAAAAAAAACTCCCAACACGTTAAGGCACAATCACAGCTGTAAGCCAGCAGCAACAGCATGAATACTATACTGGGCCGCGGGATAACCGCTGTAGGAGAACCGGTTCGACACAAAATAAAAAACAAATCAGACATAGGCCTGGAGCTTTTAATTAACATAACAGACAGCAATGATTCTTGTTGTTGTTGTTGATACGTTCTTACAAATGTCTGGACGACGACAACGACCACGACGAAGAAAGTAATCGACGACAAGCAACAAACGACAGGCAGACAAACTCAATCCAAATTAATCATGAAAATCAGATAGAAGTTCTTTCACAAACTAAAAATGCACTTACAAAATCAAAAATAAAACACTTTTTGATGGCATTTTAGTTGTAACGACACACTGGGCAAACATAATCATGTCTGCAGCAAAAAAAAAAACTAAAATAAAATAAATCAAAAAAAGGAGACATCCCCACACATGTGTCTGTGTGTATGCAGGTTTGTAATACAATCCAACACTTGAGTAATTTGATATCCTTAATAAATTGTAAATCTTTTTATCGCAAAAAAATCACTTCAATATTAAACAAATATGTATGTTAGAACTCACATTTCTTTTACGTTGTTATTTAAAAAAAATAACTAAAAAACAATTCGTATTTCAAAAAACACACTTTAAATTGCCAGTTTGAATTTGATTTTTGTAAAACCCACGTGGCTTTTGGAATATTCCTTGGTTAAACCGTGAACGAAACAGAACAACCTTCTGAATTGGCCGCTGCTAAACGACTAATTCACTCTTTGGAATTGTCATCTTATATTGGTTGCTCCATCTCTGCTCACACGCACACTTGTGCTCACCAATACGCATCCAAATGGTTTGCCTGGCTGCCTGCCTGTTGCTGCTTGCTCTTCATCCCAGCCGACCTTGTCAACCGAGGCATTGCCGGTGAGTTTAACATTTGCACAAAACAATGCTCAACAGCAAGAACAAAACAACCGACTGAGTGTGGCAAAGCAAAGCATGCAAAGGGGGCTCGTTAATGGGGGTTTGTGTGTATCATGGACATGGTTTTGTTGTTGTTTTTTGGTTCGATTGATTGGAAAGAGATTAAGGGAGAGAGTTAGTGTTTGAGAAATTCCCCCAAACGAGAATAACAAACACGAAATGAGACATGATTTTTTTAATTGAACAGAATTGTTGTTCTTTTTTATCGCCTCCGAGACAGACAATCCACTGAGAAGCCAGACTGATATGTTTTGATTTTGTTTGTACGGGAAATGTTTTAATTTTTTATCAGAATTTTTAATTGATTTCAATATCAGCAACCTTTTTATGATTCTGTTGTGGGCAATTGATAAAAAAAGCCGGTCTCATTTTTTCTGGGAACCGGCATTTTTGGTTGGATTTCTCTTAGTGGGGATTTCTCTTGCAAAGGGGAATTGTAAACACCCAGAGAAAAAATGTGTTTTTATATTTAAATTCTAATGCAAATTGATTATTAAAAAAAAATATTGATTTTTAACTACAGTCAAAATCGCTTACAACTACGGTCAAGGGACCGGCGAAACTGGTCATTATAAGCGATATGTCGTTATAAACAATATCAAATGAATGGCTTGTCTCGGGACTTTGGATACAGACGTTATAACCGATATGTCATAAACGATTTCGACTATTTTTTGGTTATGAACAGCGAAATGTTATATTTTATGATTTGATATAGTTGTTAGGTTCCAAAATAGGCAGGGACTCAATTCCAGTTTGTTGTTTTAATAAAAAAACATGTCAAATCATCGTTAAGTTCGACCGACTTTTTATTTAGACTTATTTTTTAGAAATTCAAACTAAAGGGAACAGAATACTCCCTATATTGTACCAAAGGGGATACAATTAGGCAATCTTTAAAAATATAGAAAGAGCTAGAGCTTTTGAACGTCGTTAAATTCGGTCCGGTCGATTTTTTTTAGAAAATCGATCGGAACATTTATATGAGGTAGAAAATTACTACCATAATCACATACACTTAGATTTAAATTGAAAATGTTCTCTGAAAAAGTTCTTTACACACCAAGGCCTGGGATGCCAAAATCGCAAACACTTCGTAATGCTAAAATTTAGTCACTTCGGTTGAAAAATATAACTGGGGCAATCAAAATACTTATAAGCGTCAGGACCTTTATATGGAGGCTACATTCAAAGATCGACCGATATTTATAATTTTTGGTTGGGAGATTTGTCAGCCAATGAGAAATCAAAATTTCATATTAGAGCCAACTCGATTGGAAGAACTTGCTAGGGCTATACAAAACATGAACCGATATGGATAATTTTCGGTAGGAAGATTTGACCGACCATGTGAATCCAAAATAAATAATTACTGCCAATTTGGTTGAAAAAAAAACGTGGCCAAATTTTTCAAGACATCGAGATTTGGGAGGTTCAATGGGGGCTACCCTTAAAAGGGGATCAAAACTGTTAATTTTTAATAGGGCGATGTGTTTCCGAATTTTGGTTCAATATTAATAATTTTTTGGGAGGGCGAATTGTTAATCAATACGAATCCAAAATGAAAAAAAATTTACATCCAATTCCGATGAATAATATGTGATGACTATAATTTCGATGACTATATTTTCGAAAATGTGGGCCCCGGAGGGTTTTGTATCCACTTATAAAATGATGATTAATGAAATTTAAGGTTGAAAAATTGGAACACCTCCATGAAAATGATTAAATGGGATGGAATTTTATATGGACTATGCACAAGAATTCCAAATTGATGCGAAACCTTTACGTGCCAAACATGGACCCATATTAACAAAATGTTCAACAATAAGTTATTTACTCAGAGAATATTCCTACGACTTAGGGAACTAATAACAGAAACTTATATTTAAAAAATGGCTAGGACCTTGAAATGACCGAAAATGACAAAAACAATGACTAATAATTAAATGTTTATACCCTCAGCATTATAACTAATGAGGGTATATAGATTTTTTGGTGTAGTTCATGTACTGTCGTTTATAATGTGATGAAGTGATATACTGTTTTAAACTATTGGAGTAGTCCATGTAATGGGCTAGCTCGTTCATGAAATAATGGTTAGTCCCCTTCCAGTATGTGTGTCTGATGATGGGGAAGAGTAATACCTCGAGGGGCTTCACTACTGTGAAGTAAAATATGCGCCGGTAACGGTACTACCCCAACCATTTTTCAGGCTTAGTGAACGATGAGAGCGACTATGGACAAATCTAGCAATTATTTGGAAATGCCTAAAAGTATGCTACAAAAAGTGATTTACTTACAAACTCCTGCTATAATTATTCTGTTATTTATAGCACACGTTAATGGTAATGCCGTGCGATTATTGTTTTCAAATAGAAGAAGACAAAACATGAGGATGTTCTCATTTCATGTAAATATAAAATAATTAATATAAAATAATATAAAAAAAATTCCAATAAATTTAACTTACTCTACTGCATGGATTGTTGGTAAATTCACGCTCCAGATATTGCGCATATATTTAATAATCTCGGATATAATTGTTTTAAAATTTCAATGGGATTTTAAGAGAACTATTCTCGAATATATTTCCTTGTTCAAAAATAGAGATTAATAATTTCAGATGAATCTCGACCGTTATGAGTTTCTCATTAGTTAAATTTGTGGATCATATCGCTCTTTTACTTCAAGACCGGCATAAATCAAAAAATTTATTTTTTCAATTAATGATGTAGAATTGTTTTTCAGATGAATATATCTTCAATAATCTGCTTGAGAAGAAGTTCATCTGTTCCTTGTAAGGTGTGAGTAAATTGAAAAACTTAAAGTGCATTTTATGCAAAATCAATTTTGTTGATTTATGCCCATATTGCAGCAAATAAGCAATGTATCCTTGACACTGATTACATTTTCGATCAACAGTTTAGTATTAATATAATTGAATACTACATTAAATACATACATATATAGACCATTTAAAAAATAATTACAAAGTCATTTCATTACTAATATAAATTGTTTTATTTCATATATATATCGCAATAGTAATCAATATAAAATAATTTAATTTATATATGTATTTTTTAATGTTATATATAATAAGCATATATATATATATATATTATGGTATAAAATTTATTAAACTATTTACATAAATATTTGATTTGATTGTTTGTTGTTTGTATTTATTTTATATACTATATAATAAAAAAATTTGATTGATTCATTGGTTGATATCAAATACACGCACACAAAGATGTATCTCGATTTTTTTGGGGGGAAATGGTTTTCTTGTAAAAAAAAAAAAGAAAAACTAAAAAAATAACAAATTAAAGAAAAAAACTTAACAACAAAAATAATATTAAAAAAATAAGTATTAGTATTTCAAAAAAGAGCGTAAAAAGCCAATGAAGACCTAAAGGGTCCTTACAATCGGATTTATGGTGATAGATCACATAATTCAGATTAATCATTGGCCTAGTACAACAAATACAAAAAATGGAAATGCAATTGGTAGCATAATATATAAAAAATTCTTAGGTAATGTTCCATATGTTGGAAGTCAGCCACATTAAGTTTCATGTCAATTAGAAATTGAATTAATTGGGGGTTAGGAATTTGAATTAGGGAGAAAGTTTGCCTAATAAATCTTTTGTCATCCACCTCTCCTCTTTGCCATGTACATAGACTTCTTTCAATTCATTTTCAAAATTTGCTACGAAGTTCATCAAACTCCCTTCCTTCAGCATGAAACTTCGTATGACTGCCTTCCAATTAAAAGTGAAAATTGAAACATAAAAAAAAACACTGATGACTGACAAAATTTTTCTCTTACTTAATTCTAAAATTTGATTATTAGTTTTTGAATTTTAATTATAGCATAACATATATCCTTAATAGAAGAAAATGCTTGAAAACACCGCTTAACTTTGGAGAGAGAGGGAAGGAAACCCTCGAAATTCTTAAACATTGGTTGGGGCATCCATGCCACAGATTATTGATTTGACAACAGAGGCTGCAGCCAAGGAGGCATAATTTTGCCATTTGCGGGTTGTGGTGCCATCCTTATAGTCGGAAATACCTAAAATCAAAAACAAAACATTATTTTTCCATTTCAAAATAAATTTCCCTTCCCCAACTTACCCTTAACCAAAATAAAACTTTCCCGGCAATTTCCAATAATACTATCCAACACCGAACTCATTTCCAAGTCCGTGGCCAGCAGACCATATTTCTTGGCAAATTGTATGCGTAGATCATCGTTACGCACCAAATCACGACCCGAACCAATTGGTCCCAAATGCAGGCGGGATTTGGGTATACCATCTACGTTATCGGTGCCAATGGGATGTGATACCTCAATCACCTCATTGTTACCAATATTCATAAATAGTTTATCGGAATTGGCGGCAGGTCGATTGAAATCACTTTCAGTTTTTTGTTGCAACAATTCAAAACCTTCACTCATATAGGTTTCCCAGGGGCGTTTCACTTCCATGTTGGCTTGAAGATTTTCCGCTATTTGTTGGAGGCAATCATTTACGGGGAAATAAGTTTTGACATCTTCACCGCTTTTGTAGACATAGACATAGGGTTTTTCGGAGCTGGAAAAATTAAAAAAAGAAGAAGAGGAAGCATTTAGAATTAAAGCAAAAACTATTTAAAAAATCCAGGTCTAAGGCTGGTAGAGTCCTTAAAAATTGCTATTTAAAAGAATCCACGCCTAAGGCTGGTAGAGTCCTTAAAAATTGCTATTTAAAAAATCCACGCCTAAGGCTGGTAGAGTCCTTAAAAATTGCTATTTAAAAAATCCACGCCTAAGGGTGGAAGAGTCCTTAAAAATTGTTATTTAAAAAATCCACTCCTAAGGCTGGTAGAGTCCTTATTTAAAAAAATCCATGCCTAAGGCTGGTAGAGTCCTTATTTAAAAAAATCCATGCCTAAGGCTGGTAGAGTCCTTAAAAATTGCTATTTAAAAAATCTACGCCTAAGGCTATGATAGGCATTGAAAATTTCTATTTAAAAATTCTACGCCTAAGGCTATGATAGTCCTTGAAAATTTCTATTTAAAAAATCCACGCCTAAAGCTATGATAGGCATTGAAAATTTCTATTTAAAAATTCTACGCCTAAGGCTATGATAGTCCTTGAAAAATTCTATTTAAAAAATCCACGCCTAAGACTATGATAGTCTATGAACAACTCTATTTAAAAAATCCACGCCTAAGGCTATGATAGTCCTTGAAAAATTCTATTTAAAAAATCCACGCCTAAGACTATGATAGTCTATGAACAACTCTATTTAAAAAATCCACGCCTAAGGCTATGATAGTCCTTGAAAAATTCTATTTAAAAAATCCACGCCTAAGGCTATGATAGTCCTTAAAAAATTATATTTAAAAAATCCATGCCTAAGGCTATGATAGTCCTTAAAAAAATCCAATTCCACATAATTTTATATGCAGATTTTTTACTTACCCATTGGCCAAAGCCCTTTGTTTATCCACATATGAAATGACCACATCTCCGAGACGTACATGCTTCTTGTAATCCGTGTAATGGGGTACACCACCAGCCACGCCCACAATAAAGACATAATCAACCTTTTGGAATGTTCCCAGCAAACGGGTGGTAGTATTGCCAGTTGCCGTCATGGCCTCACGGGTACTACCCACCGATGGTAGTTTTGTGCTGACAATGCGATGAGCACCAATATTACCCAAAGTATAGACATTCGATTCGCCTAGATAACAAAAATAAAATTCAATTTAAAAATTAAAAAAATGTAAAAAATAAATTCAAAATTAATTCACCAAAAAAATAAAAATTTTCAGGTGGTTGGTGAGACAGGTGATTCTATGGACAATGATAATGGTGTATAGTTATATCCCAAATGGTGCTTAAAAATTACAACAACAAAAATATGAATAAAATGTAGTTTGACAAAAAAAGACGGATCGCCTTGAGGGTGGAGGTGTGTGTGTAAGTTGAAAGGGGGTGGGGGCGAATCATATGAACTTGAACATTAAATGTAGTGGAGACAGGACACAACAACAATAATTTTTTTCACTTTTTTTACAACAAAAAATATTCCCAAATACCAAAAATATATAAAAATGGGGGCCAGTACACATCTACAACATAAAAAGCTTGACAACAAAAATGTCTCTAATTTTTTTCGGTGATTGTGGGGGTTTACAAGGACAATATTGACAGGATAATAATATGCTATTATTTATGCTAGCCTTTATCGTATTTCTTACGAGCGAGCATCAGCGTTCTTACCAATACGTTTTCTCTTTTTCTTTTTTAAAGAATCTTTAGTAAGAGTGTCTGTTTCGATTTGGAGGTTATGTTTAATGGATTAGAAGGGCCAAGAGGGGGGATAATGTTTTGTAGTGGCAGTAGGTGTTTGTTGTTGGTGTACAGACAAGGGTTTGTTTATATATATATCGAGAGAATAAAAGAAAAACAAATGAATTAATTGGTTAAACTTCTGTTGAGTAGCTGCAGGGTTTTGTATTATATTTATAATGGTCCTTCAAAAGAGTCCTATTCTTTTGTTCTGTAATTGTTCAAAAATGTATATACAAAATGTCTCTTAACTTACCAACAGTGGTGTAACGTACAAAGGTCTCCTTATTCTCCAACATGGCATCGACAGCCAATTTTTCACAATACTGGGCCGTAATAATGGCAATGGTCGGCTGTTTGTTGGAGGCAATTGTGGGCATTTGCTTGACCACCTGAAAATGGAAAAGAAAATTAAATATTAAATTCAAAATTTCAAAGGAAATACCAATACCAACATGACCTTTCATAAATTTCCACAATAGCCTAAAAGTATGCAACACTTTTTCATATTTTCATGAATAGGACATGCATTCAGAAGAATCATTTTAAAAAGAATTTTTCAAGGACTATCATAGCCTAAGGCCTGGATCATAGCCTAAGGCGTGGATTTTTTAAATTGGAATTTTTAAGGACTCTACCAGCCTTAGGCGTGGACTTTTTAAATTCGACTTTTTAAAGACTCTACCAGCCTTAGGCGTGGATTTTTTAAATTGGAATTTTCAAGGACTATCATAGCCTAAGGCTTGGATTTCTTAAATAGAATTTTTCAAGGACTATCATAGCCTAAGGCTTGGATTTCTTAAATAGAATTTTTCAGGGACAAAATAAGCCTAAGACGTGGATTTTTTAAATATAATTTTTCAGGGACAAACTCAGCCTAAGGCGTGGATTTTTTAAATAGAATTTTTCAGGGACAAAAGCAGCCTTAGGCGTGGATTTTTTAAATAGAATTTTTCAAAGGACAAAAGCAGCCTTAGGCGTGGATTTTTTAAATAGATTTTTTCAAAGGACAAAAGCAGCCTTAGGCGTGGATTTTTTAAATAGAATTTTTCAAAGGACAAAAGCTTCCAAAGGACAAAAGCTGCCTTAGGCGTGGATTTTTTAAGTAGAATTTTTCAGGGACAAAAGCAGCCTTAGGCGTGGATTTTTTAAATAGAATTTTTCAAAGGACAAAAGCAGCCTTAGGCGTGGATTTTTTAAATAGAATTTTTCAAAGGACAAAAGCTTCCTTAGGCGTGGATTTTTTAAATAGAATTTTTCAAAGGACAAAAGCAGCCTTAGGCGTGGATTTTTTAAATAGAATTTTTCAAAGGACAAAAGCTGCCTTAGGCGTGGATTTTTTAAATAGAATTTTTAAGGGACAAAATCAGCCTAAGGCGTGGATGTTTTAAATAGAATTTTTCAGGGGCAAAATCAGTCTAAGACGTGGATTTTTTAAATAGAATTTTTCAAAGGACTATCAACACCTTAGGCGTGGATTTTTTAAATAGAATTTTTCAGGGACTATTCTCACCTTAGGCGTGGATTTTTTAAATAGAATTTTTCAGGGACTATTCTCACCTTAGGCGTGGATTTTTTAAATAGAATTTTTCAGGGGCAAAATCAGTCTAAGGCGTGGATTTTTTAAATAGAATTTTTCAAAGGACAAAAGCAGCCTTAGGCGTGGATTTTTTAAATAGAATTTTTTAAAGGACAAAAGCAGCCTTAGGCGTGGATTTTTTAAATAGAATTTTTCAAAGAACAAAAGCAGCCTTAGGCGCGGATTTTTTAAATAGAATTTTTTAAAGGACAAAATCAGCCTAAGGCGTGGATGTTTTAAATAGAATTTTTCAGGGGCAAAATCAGTCTAAGACGTGGATTTTTTAAATAGAATTTTTCAAAGGACAAAAGCAGCCTTAGGCGTGGATTTTTTAAATAGAATTTTTCAGGGACAAAATCAGCCTAGGGCGTGGATTTTTTAAATAGAATTTTTCAGGGGCAAAATCAGTCTAAGGCGTGGATTTTTTAAATAGAATTTTTCAAAGGACAAAAGCAGCCTTAGGCGTGGATTTTTTAAATAGAATTTTTTAAAGGACAAAAGCAGCCTTAGGCGTGGATTTTTTAAATAGAATTTTTCAAAGAACAAAAGCAGCCTTAGGCGCGGATTTTTTAAATAGAATTTTTTAAAGGACAAAAGCAGCCTTAGGCGCGGATTTTTTAAATAGAATTTTTTAAAGGACAAAAGCAGCCTTAGGCGTGGATTTTTTAAATAGAATTTTTCAAAGAACAAAAGCAGCCTTAGGCGCGGATTTTTTAAATAGAATTTTTTAAAGGACAAAAGCAGCCTTAGGCGCGGATTTTTTAAATAGAATTTTTCAAAGAACAAAAGCAGCCTTAGGCGCGGATTTTTTAAATAGAATTTTTCAAAGGACAAAAGCAGCCTTAGGCGTGGATTTTTTAAGTAGAATTTTTCAAAGACTATCATAGCCTTAGGCTTAGATTTTTTAAATAGAATTTTTCAAAGACTATCATAGCCTTAGGCTTGGATTTTTTAAATAGAACTTTTCAGGGACAAAATCAACCTAAGGCGTGGATTTTTTAAATAGAACTTTTCAGGGACAAAATCAACCTAAGGCGTGGATTTTTTAAATAGAACTTTTCAGGGACAAAATCAACCTAAGGCGTGGATTTTTTAAATAGAACTTTTCAGGGACAAAATCAACCTAAGGCGTGGATTTTTTTAATAGAACTTTTCAGGGACAAAATCAACCTAAGGCGTGGATTTTTTAAATAGAACTTTTTAGGGACAAAATCAACCTAAGGCGTGGATTTTTTAAATAGAACTTTTTAGGGACAAAATCAACCTAAGGCGTGGATTTTTTAAACCTGAATAGCTGCTCACCTTAATCTCCTTATCTTCATGATGAATTCTGGTATAGGAATTATATTCCATTGATTTGATGAGTCCTCTTTCCTGGAGCGACATAAATACCAATATGACATCCTGTTCTTCCCAGCCATAGTCCCTAAAAATGAAAAAAATCCGATTAGTTTGTCAATAAAATTTTAAACAACCTTCACTTACTTGGCCAAATCCTCTGGGGTAATGGGATTTGGATAGGCCTGTTCAATTAGTTCGAGCACCTTTTCCGGTGTCAACGGTGGAGATTCGAATTGATTTTCATCCATGGACACTGTGAAGTAGAAAATAAAAAAATAATTAAAAATCAAATGGAATAAAATTTAGAAAAATTAATGCAAACATTTATTGTTGTTATTTTTAATTAAAAAAGGGGCATGGTTAAACAAGTTTAAAGCTTTAAAACGAAATTTCAACAAAATTTTAGAAAACACAGATTTTGCCTTCTTATATCTTTTTTAAACAGGACGCAACAATGTAAGCGTATTCTCCAAAGATGTTAATGTGTTAGTTCGACAGAGGAGGAGCGTCATTCCAAAACGATGATTTTGTTTTTAATGGATGGATATGGAAGGTAGAGATTGTTATTTGCTGTGGAAGGATAATTCTTCTAGAGAACACTTAGCGTTAAATGCTTGGTGTTGTCGTTCGAGGGCCACAATTATCATGAAATTTGTGTGTGTACACTTATGAGAGGGTAATGATTTCCTTAAAAGCCGTTATAAATGGTTATGAAACACGTAAAAAGCTTTCCCATCCATCCGGTAACGTTGGCTGGTTGGTTGGCATGCAGGACACAACAATTTATGGTTTGGAGAATTATAGAGAGAAAGGCAGGCAGCAGAGCAACTGGATAGACAAACTTTAAGCAGACAGTCGAAGAGGAGGATTTTAAGGTATGCAGGAATTTTCTAGAGGAAATTTTCTATATAGATGTTTCTCTATAGATGTGGATTTAAAAAAAAAAAATATTTTGGAAGCCTATCAAAGCCTATCCAAGATTTAAAAAAAAAAATATTTTTGGAAGCCTATCAAAAGCCTATCCAAGGCGTGGATTTTTAAAAAATATTTTTGGAAGCCTATCAAAGGCCTATCCAAGGCGTGGATTTTTAAAAAAATATTTTTGGAAGCCTATCAAAGGCCTATCCAAGGCGTGGATTTTTAAAAATATTTTTGGAAGCCTATCAAAGGCCTATCCAATGCGTGGATTTTCTAAAGAAGATTTTTCAAGGACCAGTTACCAAAGGCGTGGATTTTTTAAAGAAGATTTTTTCAAAGCCAATCAAAGGCGTGGATTTTTTAAAGAAGATTTTTTCAAGGCATATCAAAGTCGTGGATTTTTTAAAGAAGATTGTTTCAAGGCCTACTAAAGGCGTGGATTTTTTAAAGAAGATTTTTTCAAGGCCTATCAAAGACGTGGATTTTTTAAAGAAGATATTTTCAAGGACCAGTTACCAAAGGCGTGGATTTTTTAAAGAAGATTTTTTCAAGGACCAGTTACCAAAGGCGAGGATTTTTTAAAGAAGATTTTTTCAAGGACCAGTTACCAAAGGCGTGGATTTTTTAAAGAAGATTTTTTCAAGGACCAGTTACCAAAGGCGTGGATTTTTTAAAGAAGATTTTTTCAAGGACCAGTTACCAAAGGCGTGGATTTCAAGGACCAGTTACCAAAGGCGTGGATTTTTTAAAGAAGATTTTTTCAAGGACCAGTTACCAAAGGCGTGGATTTTTTAAAGAAGATTTTTTCAAGGACCAGTTACCAAAGGCGTGGATTTTTTAAAGAAGATTTTTTCAAGGACCAGTTACCAAAGGCGTGGATTTTTTAAAGAAGATTTTTTCAAGGACTAGTTACCAAAGGCGTGGATTTTTTAAAGAAGATTTTTTCAAGGACCAGTTACCAAAGGCGTGGATTTTTTAAAGAAGATTTTTTCAAGGACCAGTTACCAAAGGCGTGGATTTTTTAAAGAATATTTTTTCAAGGACCAGTTACCAAAGGCGTGGATTTTTTAAAGAAGATTTTTTCAAGGACCAGTTACCAAAGGCGTGGATTTTTTAAAGAAGATTTTTTCAAGGACCAGTTACCAAAGGCGTGGATTTTTTAAAGAAGATTTTTTCAAGGACCAGTTATCAAAGGCGTGGATTTTTTAAAGAAGATTTTTTCAAGGACCAGTTACCAAAGGCGTGGATTTTTTAAAGAAGATTTTTTCAAGGACCAGTTACCAAAGGCGTGGATTTTTTAAAGAAGATTTTTTCAAGGACTATACCAAAGGCGTGGATTTTTAAATGAAGATTTTTTCAAGGACCAGTTACCAAAGGCGTGGATTTTTTAAAGAAGATTTTTTCAAGAACCAGTTACCAAAGGCGTGGATTTTTAAAAGAAGATTTTTTCAAGGACCAGTTACCAAAGGCGTAGATTTTTTAAAGAAGATTTTTTCAAGGCCTATCAAAGGCGTAGATTTTTTAAAGAAGATTTTTTCAAGGACCAGTTACCAAAGGCGTGGATTTTTTAAAGAAGATTTTTTCAAGGACCAGTTACCAAAGGCGTGGATTTTTTAAAGAAGATTTTTTCAAGGACCAGTTACCAAAGGCGTGGATTTTTTAAAGAAGATTTTTTCAAGGACCAGTTACCAAAGGCGTGGATTTTTTAATGAAGATTTTTTCAAGGACCAGTTACCAAAGGCGTGGATTTTTTAAAGAAGATTTTTTCAAGAACCAGTTACCAAAGGCGTGGATTTTTAAAAGAAGATTTTTTCAAGGACCAGTTACCAAAGGCGTAGATTTTTTAAAGAAGATTTTTTCAAGGCCTATCAAAGGCGTAGATTTTTTAAAGAAGATTTTTGAAAGCCTATAAAAATGAGGTTTTTTGAAGGGCTATCTCAGGGGTCTTTTTGGGTACTAGAAGCGTTTTCAAAATAACGTTACACCAACACACATTCAAACTTATTTTATTTTTATTCTTTTTTATAAAAAAAACTTGTTTTGGTGCTTAAACTCAAAAAACCAAAAACAAGTTTTTTTTCAAATGTGAACCTTATAATTATGTGGAACGCCGTTTGCTTCCTTCCCACCCATTGTGAGGTAATTCGTATTGCCAAATTTTCACCTTAAAATTTCATTACAAAATTTGAGGGGGTGGTGATTAAATTTTCATTCATTCAAAATTGTTGGGTTTGGTTTGAATGGGTTTTTTTATTGTTAGCTCGGGTTAGGTTAGTTAGGAGCACAGAATGGTTGGTTAGATGGATGAATGGACGGGCTGACTGACTGTTGACTGCCTGCTTTGCTAGCTGACTGTTGCCTTGTCTGTCTATCTGTTGCTCTTGTTTTTTATTTTAATTCCAATTGTTTTTGAATGTTTGTCGGATTGTTTGTTTGAGGGAGGGTGAGGAGGTTATTATCATTTCCGCGTTGTTGCAATGGCATTTGCTGTTGTTGTTGTGGAGGTTGTTGTTAGTTGCTCATGGTAGATTTCAAGCCATATTGCCTTCATTATTTCATCGCCATCACCTGTTTGCTGTTGGGCCTGTAAGGCCTCCTCGAATTTGCGATTGCAGTCACCATAGCAGTAAATAATGTAACCGTCACGAGCTGTAGTACCGAACACACATCAATCACATCATCATCATTATCATCGTTACCATGCCACGATGCCAGAATTTTGGTGCAAAATAAGATGAGCGATGTTGAGGAATAGGAAGCAATTCAAAATTGTAATTTTTTTTGGATATAGTTGGCCAAAAAGTAATGCAGTAGTAAAGAGGAGAAGATGAAGGAGGAGTCGAAAGGTATCATTTTCGATGGTGATCCATTGTTGTTGTAGTTGTGTTTTTTTCAGGAATAGAAAGAAGAAGTTGTATGAAGATTTTGGATGCAGTTTACATTGTTGTTGTTGTGGCATAAATCAAAATTCGAAATGGTGTTGGATATTTTTTTTTGGAGAAGAAAAATGATTAGGAGTATAGTAATATAATTATAAGAATCTAGGTTATAAACTGTAACATGATTCGAGGTTTGTTATACACATAATCATCACAGTTGTAACCTTGAGTGTGTGTGGTTGACTTCATATTTCAAATTTATTTGATGATGCCTCCACCATCATCATCGTCGCTGTTTATATTTATACTTACGTGGTCTGGATGGCGGTTCTGCGGTTTCTTCTAATATTCGCAATTCAATTTCTAGCGATTGGATTTCATCGTAGCCCTTTTGCAATAATTTCATAATCTTCTTGATGAAGCCAACATAGTCTGGAAATAAAAAAAAAAAATAATAAAAATATTCAAATAAATATTTAAAAAATATTAATATTAAAGGATGGGTTTTTTTAAAATAATTTTTAAAGCCTACAGGCGTAGATTTTTTGAAAATATTTTTTCAATTTGTTCAAAGCCTATTTACAGGCGTGGATTTTTTAAAGCCTATTTAGAGGCGTGGATTTTTAAAGCCTATTTACAGGCGTGGATTTTTTAAAGCCTATTTACAGGCGTGGATTTTTTAAAGCCTATTTATAGGCGTGGATTTTTTAAAGCCTATTTACAGGCGTGGATTTTTTAAAGCCTATTTACAGGCGTAGATTTTTTAAACCCTATTTACAGGTGTGGATTTTTTAAACCCTATTTACAGACCTGGATTTTTTAAACCCTATTTATAGACCTGGATTTTTTAAACCCTATTTACAGGCGTGGATTTTTTAAACCCTATTTACAGGCGTGGATTTGTTAAATCCTATTTACAGACCTGGATTTTTTAAACCCTATTTACAGGCGTGGATTTTTTAAACCCTATTTACAGGCGTGGATTTTTTAAACCCTATTTACAGGCTTGGATTTTTTAAACCCTATTTACAGGCTTGGATTTTTAAACCCTATTTACAGGCGTGGATTTTTTAAACCCTATTTACAGGCTTGGATTTTTTAAACCCTATTTAAAGGTTTGGATTTTTTAAACCCCATTTACAGGCGTGGTTTTTTAAACCCTATTTAAAGGTTTGGATTTTTTAAACCCCATTTACAGGCGTGGTTTTTTAAACCCTATTTACAGGCTTGGATTTTTTAAACCCTATTTACAGGCGTGGATTTTTTAAACCCTATTTTTAAAGCCTATTTACAGGCTTGGATTTCTTTTCACTATTTTTCAAAGCCTATTTACAGGCGTGGATGTCCCAAAAATATTTTAAAGCCTATTTACAGGCGTGGATTTCTTTTCACTATTTTTCAAAGCCTATTTACAGGCGTGGATGTTCCAAAAATATTTTAAAGCCTATTTACAGGCGTGGATTTCTTTTCACTATTTTTCAAAGCCTATTTACAGGCGTGGATGTTCCAAAAATATTTTAAAGCCTATTTACAGGCGTGGATTTCTTTTCACTATTTTTCAAAGCCTATTTACAGGCGTGGATGTTCTAAAATTTTTATAAAGCCTATTTACAGGAGTGGATGTTCTAAAAATATTTTTAAAGCCTATTTACAGGCGTGGATGTTCTAAAAATATTTTTAAAGCCTATTTACAGGCGTGGATGTTCCAGAAATATTTTAAAGCCTATTTACAGGCGTGGATGTTCCAAAATATTTTAAAGTCTATTTACAGGCGTGGATTTCTTTTCACTATTTTTCAAAGCCTATTTACAGGCGTGTCCCTAAAAAATCCTTAATCACTGAGGACTTTTCAATCCTCTCAAAACTAATTTTTTCTTTTTAATTATCTCTCTACTCACCTCTTGGAAAATCTTTTGGACTAACCAGCTCCTTGAAAAAGTCCTGGGCAATATGCGCTTGATCCTCATCATTTTTCAACCAATCACGGAACCAAAAACGCAATGTTCTCGACTCCTGTGAATGTTTGCCCGTATTGGCACTGACCAAAAACACCCTGAATTCCAACGACAATTGTGCTGGTGTTACTTGGGATTTCTGTCCCGCCACCGTATCCTTATTAATGATGATGCCCGTATGATCACCACCCGCCACATGGGTACGTTCGTTAACCTCATCGACCAATTTCCTTTCGATTAGAATCACAGTACTGTTGGCAGTTTTTCCTTTGGGTGTCATTACGACGTGTTCTCGATCGGTACGTGGCGGCGTGTGACAAGGACTACGGCCGTTTAGCTTCTGAATGCTTGAATTCGAACCATGCAGATGGTTGCCATTGCTGCCGCTGCCATTGATAGTGGCACTACCATTCGCCAGTGTGCCATTTCCATTGGCATAGGGTTGGGCGGCGGATTTATTGGGTTTGGGGGGTGGTGGCGGCGCCATTTGTGGATGGGCCAAATGATGATTCCCTGTTGACATTTTATTGGCGGATTTGTTTGTCTGCTCCGATTGCCTGGTAGACAATTTTTATTGGAATCTCTTTCTAAACAACCTTGACTGTTTTTTTGTTTTCAGAGTTTGCGTTCCGCAAAACAACAAAAGTTTGAAATACTTTTGCCTTTACTTTGGCTTCCTTTAAAGACCTGAAAAGAGACAAAAAAAATTAGTTATGACTTCAATTGATTGTTGGTAACAGCATAGAATTAAATTCGAATAAGCCATTGTTGTTGTGGCAATAAACATTTATTTATTTCGAGTTTGAAAAAAGTCTATTTATTTCGGGTATGGTTGGTTGTGGGTTTGTTGTAATGTGTTTTTATTCCGCATTTTAGGTCATCGATTTTTATGGCATAGTTTAGGGTTTTGTTAGCAAAAAAAGTTGGAAAGTTTCCCACATATTGAAATATGATAGTTCAATACACCCTTCAACGGGGAAATTATTACAAATTTGGAGAGATTTTTTTTCATTCGTGGAAAAAAATCGTGACTTGAATTTTAAATTTTTTAAAGAATATTTTTTCAAAGGCAAAAAATAGATGTGGATTTTTTAAAGAACATTTTTTCAAGGGTTACAATTTTTCCCATGTGATAACTTTTCCATTTTCCTATTATTACAGAACTTATGTTACATGTCTCTCATGTCTCTGATTTAATTTATTTGTTAATGGTAGTTTTCCACATTTTCATAGCATTTGTAATTTTGTCCATATCTAATGGATGTGTCTCAGCTGCTCCATTGAAAGCTTTTACCCTGGAGGTAATTTAATATTTTTAACCTAATAAAATCATTTTCACTTGCTGATGCTGCTGCAGATGACTGATAGGAATGATGATGACACTTCAAAACTGCAGACATCAAAATGCATTTGAACTTTTGGTGGTATGACAGTTACACTCAAGGAAAAATGTTAGAAATTGTTGTACAGGAATATTGAAATTTTATGATCCAAATTAATTCCGATTGATCGATATTTTCAATTTCCTTTAAAAGATATTTTTCCAAAAATTAACAACTAACATTTTTCCTTGAGTGTCACCACATCCATCCAAAAATCATGTTGTCTATGTAGTCAGACAATACGTTTGGTTTTTTTTTTGGTCTGGGGAAAGGGTTCCATCTGAAGTGTATAAATCAAACAAGTGTCAAAGTGAAACAAATTAAACAGCCCGTAATGGACCATTGCAAATAATTATCGCCACCCTCCACCGGAAATTGTCATAGAGGCTATTACTTTTTAATGGACTTTATGAACGGCAAAATAAGGCTATAGGTAAGAAGGGCCAAAGCCCAGGTGACGTATGATTTTTTTCTATAGGAAAATCAATCATCAGTACCAGACCCCAGACCGAGGATCCTGAAAATACATAAGTGAGAACTTCGATATTTTCTATAGAAAAATATTCGCAAAAAACTCAGGGCAATTTTTTTCTATAGAAAAAAATCGTAAACCTCAGATCCCAATGAGGTGATATTTTTCCTATAGAAAAAAATTCGCGCTGACTTCATTTGCCATAGAAAAAAATCACACAGACTTTAGTTTTCACTGAGAGAAATTTTTTCCTATAGAAAAAAATTCCGGAAAATTCTCAGTTACGATTGAGGGCAATTTATTTCTATAAAAAAGAATTTGTAGATATCAGTTACCACTGAGGAAATAGTTTTCTATAAAAAAATCGCAGACCTCATTTACCAATGAGGGTTTTTTCTATAGAGACAAATCGGAAGACCTCAGTTCAATCTAAATGCATCTTTTTTTATAGATAAAAATGCTGCCTACTGGAGCATTTTTTTCTATAAAAAAATCCTATAGAAAAAAATCCGACCTCAGTAACTAATGTAAATTTTTTAACAACTTTTGAAGGCTAACCAGAGACGTGGATCTTAGAAAGAATATTTTTCGAAGGCTAACCAGGGGCGTGGATCTTTGAAAGAATATTTTTCGAAGGCTAACCAGAGGCGTGAATCTTTGAACAAATATTTTTCGAAGACTAACCAGAGGCGTGGATCTTTGAAAAAATATTTTTCGAAGGCTAACCAGAGGCGTGGATCTTTGAAAAAGTATTTTTCGAAGGCTAACCAGAGGCGTGGATTTTTAAAAGGATTTTTTTTCTATAGATCCGACCTCAGTTACTGAGGCATTTTTTTTTCTATAAAAAAACGGGCCTTCGTTACTAAGGTATTTTTTTGTATAGAAAAAATCCGACCTCAGTAACTGACGTATTGTTTTTCAAAAGCAAAAATCAAGGCCCTTAAGAGACTAATGCCCATTTCATGGGAGGCCTTCATTCCCAACCCGGTACAACCTGTTGTAAGAGTTTGGCAAACAAATTTCGAAACCGTTGTTAAAATTGTTGTTGTTGTGTTTTTATTTTTAATTTTGCCATTTGTAACAACTTCCGCTTAAAAGCAATTCTTAATGTAAAGTGCTTTGGAAGAGAGTGGAGAGCTGAGTTGAGTACCACAAAAAAGGGCCAACGAAACAAACATCAGATAGAAGATGGCTTACAGCGAATAACCCTCAGGGGCCAAAGTGAAAAAAGGTGATTGCAAACAAACATACACACCCACGGAGTAGCAGATCTATGACAGACAGAGGAAATGAACAGAAACTTTAAAATCTTTAAACTTTTAAAATAATGGTGATGATGACGATGTTCGTCACAGAAAAGGGTGGATGGTGGTTAATGGGTGGGTGGCCTGGTCTTGATGCTGGGCATAACTCAAAGGTCTGATAATATGATGGTGATGATGATGCTTGTGTCTGGGTAAAGTACGCATTACAGAAGCCATGAATGGCAATGCGATTTCAACAAAAAAGTCTACAACTCTTTGACGTGGTGTGGAGTGACAACACCACCACAAAGAGACACTCAGAGACATGATGGCATTTACAGACAAATTTTTGTACCACCACAAACCCCCATGAGAGACCTGATGGTGTTAAACACACATTATTTTCTTTTTTCAATAGCTTGTAAAAATGTTGTGTTTGTTGTTGTTGTTTTTATTTATTTACATTTTTGTTGTTATTCTTTGCACTTCTGCAAATATGGAAAATGTTTTTTCAAAATTTCGCCAACATTTCGCCATTTGCGTTCGCAGCATTTCTTTCATTACATGTGAATATTATATTTTCGTATTCGTTGTTGTTGTTTTTGGCTTGAATATATATTTATGGTATGCCGGAATATGTCAAGTGAGGCAAATGACCCTTTTATTGTTGCTGAATGATGATGGCATGTTGGTGGTGGTAGGCAGTTCTGTGGGCCCCCTCATGCTCAGGATTTTTTTTTTGCTTAAATATGCAATAAAGTTTTGTTTTGTAAATTTTGTTTTGAATTTTCATGGGTCTGTGTATTTTTTTACATTTTGTGTAATTTGTAAAATTTAATCATTTGAACGGATGTCAAAAATACTTGATTGAGGATGACACAAATTTTGAATTTCGATTCTAATTTTTTTATTTTCTGATACTGGTGATACAATTTTTTAAAGAATATTTTTTCAAGGTTGGTAATCCTTGGATTTTTAAATAATATTTTTCGAAGGCTAAACAGAGGCGTGGAACCCTAGCATCCCGTGACCCGTGCACAAAAATGAGACAAGACGATATGTGCCAACTATAGAGGAATAAGTCTCCTTCCCATCGCATATAAAGTGCTATCCAACGTACTGTGTGGACGACTGAAGCCAATGGTCAATGACATTATTGGGCCATACCAATGCGGCTTCAGACCTGGCAAATCCACCATTGACCAGATTTTCACTCTGCGCCAAATCCTGGAAAAAAACACGAAAAACAGCTGCATTCGACAGCCCTATTCGTTCAGAGGTGTTTAAAGCCATGTCTGCGTTTGGCATTCCTGCAAAATTAATTCGGCTATGCAGGATAACTTTAACTGGCACAAGATCAGCAGTTAAAGTCGGAAAGGACCTCTCGGAGCCCTTTAATACCGAACGAGGATTCAGACAAGGTGATAGTTTGTCGTGTGACCTTTTTAACATCCTGTTGGAAAAGGTCATACGAGAGGCAAAAGTGAACAGAAAAGGCACTCTGTACACCAAAAAACACATGTTACTCGCCTACGCCGATGACATCGACATAATGGGTCGAACACTGAGAGCGGTAACAGCCACCTTTGAAAAAATTGAGAAGGCGTCTGCCAAAGTGGGTCTGACAGTAAACGGCGAGAAGACCAAGCTGATGGTATCAACGCGCAAGACGTCCAGTAGACTCGGACCAACTGTAGAACTTGAGAACTACAATTTCGACGTAGTCAAAGATTTTATATAGCTTGATACCGCCATAAACAAAACGAATGACATCAGTTTTGAAATTCGGAGAAGGATAGTGGTGGCCAACAGATGCTACTGTGGTCTGAGGTCTGAGCAAACAAAAGCAAGGCCACCTCCCGCTGATACTACCCGTGCTGTTATATGGATCTGAAGCATGGGTACTTGCGCAAGCAGATGAGGTAGCTCTTGGAGTGTTCGAGAGAAAAATTCTCCGGAAGATCTATGGGCCAATCTGCGTTGACGTTGAATATCGCCGTCGAATGAACCACGAGTTGTACCAGTCATTCTTGGATATCGACATTGTTAGACGTATTGAGCTGCAGCGACTACGTTGGTTAGGTCATGTTGTGAGAATGGATGAAGATGCCACAGCCCAGAAGACATATAAAAGTGAACCAGCTGATGGTTCACGCAGAAGGGGAAGGCCAAGAATACGATGGAAAGATCAAGACGAAGACAACATTGTCGAAAATGGTCTTTAATATTGGAAAAACTCCGCTCGGCTTATGGAACAAGCCAGGTAAGTAAGTAAACAGAGGCGTGAATTTTTAAAGAATATTTTTCGAAGGCTTAACAGAGGCGTAGATTTTTTAAAGAATATTTTTCGAAGGCTAACCAGAGGCGTGGATTTTTAAAGAATATTTTTCGAAGGCTAACCAGAGGCGTGGATTTTTTAAAGAAT